ACCCCAGCCTATCTGATGGCTATATGTAACTTATACCAGCCTATCTGATGGGTATATGTAAGTTATACCAGCCTATCTGATGTGTATATGTAAGTTATACCAGCCTATCCGATGGGTATATGTTATTCATACCAGCCTATCTGACGGGTCTATGTAAGTTATACCAGCCTATCCGATGGGTATATGTAAGTTATACCAGCCTATCTGATGTGTATATGTAACTTATACCAGCCTATCTGATGTGTATATGTAAGTTATACCAGCCTATCTGATGGGTATATGTAAGTTATACCAGCCTATCTGATGGGTCTATGTAAGTTATACCAGCCTATCTGATGGGTATATGTAACTTATACCAGCCTATCTGATGGGTACATGTAACTTATACCAGCCTATCTGATGGGTACATGTAAGTTATACCAGCCTATCTAATAGGTATATGTAAGTTATACCAGCCTATCTGATGGGTATATGTAATCAATACCAGGACAACTTCAATGTTACTTTACTCACGTGGCAGGACAACTTCAATGTTACTTCACCCACGTGACAAGACAACTTCAATGTTACTTTTGAGGATCAGAGATGTAGTGCTACAGCATCATATCAGTTTTATTTTGTGATACCATATGTAAGTATATTTCGAAATATTCGAACTCTTTCGGCATGTTGACTGCTGTCAACTGTTTTGGCATGTTGACCGAACTACTTCACATAATTTATCCCAAACTACTTCATATAATTTATTCCAAACTTCTTCATATAGTTTATTCCAAACTTCTTCATATAATTTATCCCAAACTACTTCATATAATTTATTCCAAACTACTTCATATATTTATTCCAAACTACTTCATATAATTTATCCCAAACTACTTCATATAATTTATTCCAAACTACTTCATATAATGTATCCCAAACTACTTCATATAATTTATTCCAAACTACTTCATATAATTTATCCCAAACTACTTCATATAATTTATTCCAAACTACTTCATATAATTTATTCCAAATTTCTTCATTTAATCAGCCTACAAACAGATTCATTATTTGCAAAAAACAACAACAAAAACGCTAAAAATAACCCAAAAAATACACATTGTTTTAATATCATCCACTTTATGATGATGTTTGGAATGCTCATTAAGTGGACAACAGAAATAAAACCAGTTGTTACACTTTATTTAATTAGTATAAAATTAACAATTGTTTTTATGCTTTCGAAAACTCGGACAAATAACAAATTATTTAATTAATATGTTGTTACTTAATAATGCTACAAATCAACTGGATGGACGAATATTTATAAATTCAGAATTTATTTTCACACATATTTCCTAACGTTAATAACATTAATTATGTTGCTAAGGGATACAATCTAATAGTCTTGAAGAAACTGCGCATGCGCATACTATTGTTCACTCTTGGAGCAAGTAGCTGGATTGTCCATTTATAGAACAGTAAACATTAATAATGCATCAGGAAACTGAATGCATTCTATACTAACGTTACATAATGCAACACAAGGGATTTTTATAAACTATTCGTATTGTAAAGATCAACCTAACGTATAATTCACAAATAATTACGATCGTTAGAAATTAATACAAATAGCAGACTGCTTCTCGTTTTCGCTCGATTTAGAGATAACGTTTCCTTAAAGACCGCGTATAATGGTCCGTCATTTACATCCTTATGCTTCTGAATTTAAAATCGATTCAATTTGCATAACACTAACAAAAATTTAATGAAATGTATTACAAAATTCCGGTAATAGAACCAGGTTTTTTTTTACTTCTCATTTTATACAATACGTATATATATATATATATG